GTTCGTTAGTTTGCGGTCTGCTGTAGGAGCGAGACTTGTCACGGCGAGTTCGCCACATTGCACACAACTGGTACAGCTATTGCCGTTTGCACAAGGTGGAAGGCGAGTCCTTCAAAGGTCATGCAGACAGCGGTGATGAGTGTCCCGTGCTGGCGTGAGCCTCAAGTGTGTGAGCAGAAATGAAGCAGAGGGTCACGAGCCCAGGCTCGTCTTCTCTGGCAAGATTGTAAGGCCTACGATTTGGTCGAGTCCGAAATCGAGAGCCGCACAGCACCGGATGCGACCCTGCAGATCTCCATGACACCTGATCCCCGGCCTGGGTTTAGACTGTCAGTTGAATTCTGGGTGCCCTCATGAGAAAAGTTCGTGTGAAGCCTTGGAGCCGAGATCTACGGCGAGCCAGTCTTCGACGTGAGAAAGGACTCGGAGGCCGGAGAAAAAGAACCCCCTCGCGTTCGCGTTGCGTCTCTCTCCACATTCCATAAGAATTTGGAGGAGGGGACGGTGCTCTTCAACTCGTCTGGAGCCGGCGTCGGCCCGGGATGCCTTCGACCAGCCTGAGAGCCGCAGGCAGCCGCCGCTTTTGTTTTGAGGCCACGATTTGTGGGAGCTGAAGCTCAGTGCCGAGCTTGCCAAAGCTGCGGCTGGAATCTACTACGTCCAGGCGTGGCCTTCTTGCCAACTCATGCCAACTCTCGGCTTCGCAATCTTCGCACTGGCCTTGGGAGGTGTGTGCAGCAGGACCACAACACGCGCCCCACCTGCACGCTTCCGTTGAGAACATCAGCATCTCATGTGACAGTCTGCGCCCTTTGGACCTGGCTTGCTGTGACTTTGGTTACCTTTCACCCACACCTTTGCGAGTCGAGCTCCCCACCACAAACCCGCTTTCTTGCGGCTTCACAGCCAAGACTTTCCTTCGGACTGCAGACGTTTTGCCGTGCGAGCCAAATCCATGAGTGCCGGACGTGAGCCAGGCAATTTCGCATTACCGTGGCATGGGACAAGCCTCTGCTGAGGCCACAGACGGTGAGACAAGCGTAGACGGCAGAGATGGCATAGAGCTTGTCCACGGTCCATGCCTGCTAGCCCAGAGGCCCGGCAGTGCGAAGCCCGTGCCTAAGCTCGTGCCTAAGCTCGTGCCGAAGGCATGGTGCCCTGCCGCCACGCCTGTGTTTTCTGAACCTCAGAGTGAGGAAGCTGGGTGTTGCCATGCTGAACGACGGAGAGGCCTGGGGCTTGGGCATGCTTTGGCTATTTGGGCTTGAGCGGCCTAGCAAGCTCAAGTAATGTGAGCCAAGGTTCAAATGGGAAGCATATCTGCCAAGAAGCTGGGTGCTTGTTATGAGGGTGAAGTATTGCGCTTCAGACCCTGCAAGTTTCTACAAGAATGTTTTCAGGCATGATGTCTACCTCTTTATTCCAGTTCGATTCTCAGCAACATCCGCAGCTGAAATGTCCTCTCCCAGCTAGCGAGTTGCTGCCAGGCTTCGGTGGAGCAGTCTCCAACCATCAGGGTCTCCGTCACGTCTGTAAGCACCGCGCTGAAAAGCGGCGAGACGGAAGGCAGCGCTTGTAGAGCCGTGCCTCCTCTGTGCCACTGCAGGTGGAGGGTGCAAGCTGTATGTGCTGGCTCCACGGACAGGCAGAGACACTGTACCAGCCAGGGTTAGAAAAAGTAAGCCTCGGCAGAGCACTCCCGGCAGCCATTGTGATCAGGATCTGAGAGCAAAGCGAAAGAAGCCATGCGCGCATTCCTTCAAAATCCTGCTGCGCCTTGTCGGAGATTGATGCCCGATGCTTGTAACGGCCCAAAACGTGCAAGTTGGATATGCTGTTATCTAAGTGCTAAGTGCAATGAACAGGAAGTGGCAGATTGGACGACGGTCACGGTCTGAGAGACTCGTCCGGTTGTCTCCGGATATGTTAACCGAGAGAAGACAGTAGCTTCAGCATCTGTGGATCAGACGTCACAGAGGCTGAGCAAGATTCGTCGGAGATCGTCATTTCACCTTCTGATGCAAAGTGCACAGCTGTATTCTGCTGCATGCTGTGCAGAAGGATGCATGCAGGAGCAACTCACATGCCTTCCAGTCAAGCAGCTTGAATGCCGCAGGTACATTGCGCCGACTTCGTCGAATTTGTATGTGTTCCTGGTGTCTGCAGAGACAGACACAGCCCTTGGCCAAGTCCAGGCAGGCAGCCGTCCTCATTTGAGTTGTTGCCATGCTGTGAGGAATTTGAGATCGCTGCTTCCACCGGAGGTGTGGAGGCTGGAGCTTCAATCCTCCAGATGCGAGAACCACCGGAGCCCCGGAGCCTGTCGGGTCAGGAGTTGCTGACGACGGGCCTGCCGCTGCGAGGGGAGGTTGCGCGAGGGGAGCGGGGACCTCAGAGGCCTCCCCAGACATCCCAGACGTTTGAGAGCAGCTTGCAGCCCTTGCCTGAGCTCCCTAGGTATCGCAGGTACCGGGTTTCCATTGCGGAGGCAAGAGTGGCACGAGGGGAGATGTGGTTGCGGTTGACGGCATCTCCAAGTCCAGGCTGGCAGACATCTGTCCATCCAACTCACCGCCGAGAACGGGGACTGTGACCTTTATGCTGCTCAGTGCCATGCTTGGGAGCTGAAAAACACGGGTCAGTGAGTCTCCCAGCCGAGGTTCACATCGTCCCAGACGTTTCATCGGAAAGCTTCGTTTTGAGGCCAAGTGCCGCATGCTGTGTTGGCCGGTTTGTGACTTAAAACGAGGCGAGTCAATCTGAACGGTGATCGTGTTAAAGAATGGTGGTTTTGATCATGAAACGCCCGCATCCGAAGCCCCTCGCGGAGGCCAGCTCCATTGAACTGTCCGGGCATTGCTCGTCGAGAAGACACCACCACACCTTCAACAAGCCGTGAAAGCTCCTGTGGGCAGGGCGGGGAGGCAAACAAACGCCTGGACAGAGCAAAACAAGGCATACAACGGACACGACGCGTCCACAGCCATTCTAGGTGTGTCGGACAGGCAGCTGGAGAGAAGACCGGGGCTGGTGAAACATTGCACAGTAAGTCCTAGCAACTCACTTTCCATTTTTAGCCCAGTCGTGGTGTCAGCAACTCGGCCTTGGTTGTCATATGCGCAGGTCGGAGAATGTTGGTTCTGATTCCATCTTTGTCGATGCCTTCAGCGAGCTCAACCAGATGCATTGTGGGGAGAAGGTGAGGACAGTGTCAGTGCTACCATGTGGTGATACTTTCCCCCTTGTGCAGATGATCCGAACCTATGGTGAGTGCGTGTACTTCGTTGCCATCAAAGGGATCTCTCCACAATCGGCCCTGGCCCCAAGCTCCAACCCAGTGGACGGGAAGCTTTCAGGAGCCGTGCTGCCTCTCGGCTGCCGAGGCTTACCAGCTTCAAGCCATCGTTCCTGCAGCTCTGCCGCTGCCGTTGACGATGCGTGACTCTCGGTCTCAGTGACCTTGTGCTGCCGTTGCCGCCTAGCCTCAAATTGTGGAAGGTCCACCAGCAGAGCAGTTACCCTGCCACCAGGCAGGGACGGCTTATTCAGCTGGCCTTAGCGAGCGTAGCGAGTTCGCTTCCGACAGTGCGGTGCGAAGTCAGAGAGCCCAAGCAATGATCTGGCACTTCGCTGATTGCATTGTGCTGAAAGGTGGCATCCAGTATTTCTACACGCTCGCGGAGCGCACAAGGTCGACTCTGATTGAGGCTAGCCGTTGTGTTTAGGTCTGTATAGGTCTTCAGAGGATCAAGCAACGGCTTGACTTGACTTCCGCGTCTCAACTCATGAGCAACGCAGCAGCCGTGAAATCGCTGTGCAATTAGGCAACCAGCTGTTGACAGAAGCAGCCTCATCTTGGAAGTAGTAGTTTAACGCAACTTAGCACTGGTCAAGTAGGATGCATGCGACCGATGGTTTCGAGCAGCGACGTGCAGACACGGTGGAAGGGAAGCAGAGAAGGCACAGTGTGACAGTGAACTGGTCTCAGCGGGTTCTCTCGGCTGTTGTGTTCGTGCTTCTGATTCTCGTCCTGGCAGCAGTCTTACAGCTGTATCGACGATTCTCACATCAGACTCATGGCGAAGTGATGACAGAGTCGCAGGCGCAGGCTGAGGACGAGAACGGAGGTCAGGCTCGGGACCCTATGGAGGCCTCCCAGCAACAGGCTCCTCAACAGCCTGGACCGGGTAGTCTCACTTTGCGGGCACCAATGGAACAGGAGGAACCAGGGAAGAAACACAGGTCTCCAGTGCCCGAGCAGGTATCAGGTGAGCTCGCTGAGAGTGCTGTCAAAACAGCAGAGCATGTAGCATCGGCAATCAAGTTTGGATACGGTTCAGTAATGAAAGCCCACAGCAAGTTGAAGAAACTTGTCGCGAACGAGCCTGAGCACAAGAAGGACTGCAAGTCACCGCGTCTTGAAGTTCTTGGAAAGTGCGCCTGTCCAGCAGGTTTACGATGGGATTCCGCCGAGGACTCCTGCCGCACAAATACAGGTGCCATGTATTTTTACATGTACAGGGGGCAGAGCGATCACAACTATCCCATGAACAACGTCGACATGGCCGACTTGGCCGGCGTGCTGTACTACCTACACCACGAGATTGTAAAGACAAATGCTACGCCCGGTGTAAGAATGAATGGCATCACGCGAATCCTCCGTTGGCTGGTTACTGTTCGGCCGTCGCAGGAAGTGGAAGAGGGTCGGACGTTCATGCCCTTTGTGGCCTTTGATTCTGGCAGGTGTAGTGTCCCAGGTTGCAACCGCCTGTGGGATCACTATGGCTTTGCCGTTGGCTGCCAACGACTGTCACAGGGCACAGATTTGAAATATGCGTATCAGTCTCCCAACAATCCCTTTGGTGTGTGGTATTCCTTGCCCGGTCCTTGCCCGGCATTACGAGTCGGGGAGAAGGCGGGGTGTTCTTGCCCTGTGATTCTTCTAAAATCCTTTCTGGCACGCGGTTCATAGTTGTTTGCATGCGGTCCATTTCTGTGGCTTACGGTAAATAGACGGCTTGGGCGCTGTATCATGGGTTTCGTGGAAGCTGTCACTCGCAAAACTGGGTGCAGGCGAACAGCACATGGGGACAGGGATAATTGCAAAAAGCCTTGCTAATCTCCTGGTCCCTTCATAGCTTGAATGTGTACCTCATCCAAACGACAAGCTGGCTTCGGAGTGTCGCCTCGTAGTCCTTTTATACAATACTTTGTTGTGCTCATTGTAGCCGCATTGTAAGGCGACATGTGCCGTTTCGATTTTACATTGTCTTTCGATTCTTGTCGACGTACTTTGACAGGATGGGCGCTGCATGGCAACGTACCGTGGAGGAATGTGTGAGGACCTCGAGGAATCCCAGCACTGCACGTACACTGTTGATTTTGCTGGTGAGATATTCCTTGACGAGCTAGAGGGCGTCAAGGACTTCGGAAAGTGGCAGTCTGAGGGCAACAGAGAGTATGATCCTACGACGGACAGGGGAACGGGCACGTCGTTCTGGAACTTTCGTGATAGCAAGGCATGGTGCGATCGAAGGACAGCTCGAGTTCAATCACTGTTCAAAAGACGTTATCCCTTGCTTCCAAGGGATCTTCCAGCACCAGTGTGCTGATGCCGCTACTTGCGATACCGACACTCTTCTTCTGCTGAGGCCAAGGTTGGGTAAATGGGCCCACACAGCCATGTCCTGGAAAGGCGCCAGGCTCACATGTTCTTGAGATCAATGCCAACACGCTGACGAACCTGCCGAAGTGCTGAGGTGTAGTCGGTCTGTTCCTAGGTTAGTGTATGGTTGAACCCGATGGCACTTTTAAAAAGCTGCCAGCCCAAGTTTGATCCGCAGTAGCATGCCAGTGTTGCTGGCCAAGTCTCCGCACTCACGGCAAGATGGAAAATAGGGCTTCGTCCTGCGAAATGAAGCAGCATTCCATAACGGACTTCGAGATGGATGGCCTTCCAGGTAGAAGTGCAGAGTGGAGCCTTGAACCAAGTGGCAATGAAGGCCTGCAAGCTTGGCGATGCTAGGCGGCTGCGTTGGATTTGAATGCTTTGCCTGCAGGTGATGCCCCTGGCAGAAGCCAAGCATCCAAACGCCTCCAAACTTGGTGAGGCTGCCGGTTTTTGGGAAAATGATAAAGACACGATTTGGCTTCTTGCCTCGCTTCAGGTTGACATGACCGGCACCTTCTTTGCAGGGGTCGGGATCTCGATGTCTTTCCGGGATTCAGATGTCCGCATCTGTTACGACCCCGCAGCTTGCCTTCTGTGTTTTCTTTGTCTCCTCTTTCTCATGGCTGTACTTCTTGCGTGGGTGGCTTTGTGAGGTGTGGAGCTTGATGCTCGAGCCGACCAGGTCAGGCAGCCAGATTTCTGAATGTCGGACCAGGCATGTTGTTGGCCTTTGTCTTGCACAAACTGGCTTCCTGTCTGCAGATTTTCGGCTGTGTGTACATACTGAACTCTGAACTGTGCCTCGCGTCTGACACTCCAAAGCCATGGCGTCATGGAAGGAATGGCGGAGGTCAGGGGCAGCCCTAGTTACGCTAGTCAAAGACTTGTTGAGGGCGGGAGGGAGGCACCACAAAAATATCCCGCGCTGCATGTATTTAAAGAAAAGTTCTGCATCTCCTTAGCCGGGTACGGAGGCACATGCTGGGCCCAAGCTAGAATGGCGGACCGCGCATTCGCCTGCAGTACGTCCACTCAGCCTATGCTGGACCGCAGACTTCGTGAAGCTATGGAAGCCTCACCCGCAGACCTCTTTGAGAAACAGCAACCTAAAATGTAGAACGTTCCAAGCCACTATGCAAAACATTTCACGCTCTCGTTGCTTTGTCAGTAAATAATGAATTTGTCAAGAGGGGGTACTCCCAAACACCAGCTGGAGATGCGGAGGTCTGCAGGTGTCTGTGGGTTTTGATGTCTTTTCGCGTTGAGTGCAGCGATATTGGAATCCCAAGCGACGAAGGATAAATAGTGGATCCGTTTTACAAGAACCCGAGTAAGGTACCTCGGGAATTTTTTGGAGCATGTTTGGGGCTTAATTAGTGTTGCGCTAGTTATGTGATTGCCTGCCGTCCGGGAAGGAAAGGCTAGTTGTTAGGATGTATCCGCTGGGGTTTTTGTGTTTCGAGGTGCAGGGTTTGGGCTTGCAATTTGAAATTTGGGCTTTGATTGCAATGTTTTTTGTTTAGTTTTTTTCGCGGGTTGAGGGTTGGGGTTGGAGCCGTGTAGTGGGTGTCAGTGTCAAAGGGATTGGTCTTGGGGAGCGGGTGGCCAGGCGCGAAGAATGCTCAGTGCTTGGTGGTTGAGCTTGTTGCTAAGTGCGCATCTTTAGACCTGAGATGTTCATGCTATGTCGTCGAGCCTAGATAAGATCCATGCGATGCCACGGTCGCATGGAACCTTCGGGTCAGACCTGTGGATCCGGCGATTGAGCCACAGATCGTCAACCTACTCGCCCGGGAACAGCTGCACTTGCCTCCTCGGCGTGTTGGCGAAACTGTAATAGAATCTGCTGCCCCATATCCCTGGCGTTGGGGGTTCCTGTGTTGTCCGTTCAGGGTGAAATTCGACCATCCCTGTCTGCAAGAGCATTTGCACGTACCCTGATGTTGACAGGTGGGGCAGCTTCGTTTACGTCGACTATCCGGACTGCGCAGTCTTGGATGTCCAGTTGCATGGACGTAATGTCACCGATGCAGGCCGGATTTGCACGGAAGGATGTGCAGAACTTAGAAAGTTGAAGCTAGTTTGCCTAAGCAGTCTCATGCTGCAGGTGGCAGGCTGGGGCATTCTTCCCGTAACATTGAAACGTGGTCCGAAAGCAATGGAAGTATTTGCATGAAGTGGCCCCTTGCTGGCACGCCGTGCCTACAACCTGAAGTGCAAAGTTCGGACAGCAGAGATGATCAGAGATGCTCACCCGAAGTGGAGTCTGAGAGTATTTCCAATGATGTTTTTGCAACATCACCAACCAGTCTGTTATTGAGTATGCGAACACCGCTGAACAAGTGCTTCTGGCACTTTGAATGCGTGCACTGGACGACATGAATGCAGTTGTCCAGCCCTAGTGCCACACCGCGCTGAAATGGCGACTGCAGCATGTGTGTGGACATGTGTGTTGATGATTGTATGCGTTTGTCAGCCACATGATGCTGTGCGCCTCTCGATAAACTCCTGCCTGCCAGATTTGCCATCGCTTCTCCGTCACATGACAGAGCGACTGTCTGCTGGTGAAGGATGGATGGACAGCTCCTGAGGATGCTTTGCTGCGGTGCTAGCTGGTGCACTCGAGATGTTACCGAGGGCTATCAGCTTGACCTCTCGCACAACGCTGGTATTACCGATTTCGGCATATCGATCTACTTGGCACCGTTTCTCAGGAGCTGAAGAAAGGCTTTCCCCCCATGGCCTTTCGCGGGATTGCATGGATTTCAGGAAGTGGCCGCACTGCCGGGTTCTCAAGCTGTCCGAGACCTCTGCTGGTGACTCATCGCTGAAGGCCGAAAGCTTGTGGGTTCACTTCGCTTCACCGAAAATTGTCTTCCCTCTTCCCTCCCTCGCGTGGCTTCAGGCTCTGGTGGAGTGGGTGTGTCAGGGCCAGGTCGTGGAGTTAAATTTGCCGCTCTTCCGCAAAAGGAGAGCAGAGCCTGCCTTCTTTGACTTTTTCGCTTGGTGGTGTGTGCAGAGAGAAGACAGGTCGGAGTTGGGCGGAAATCTCTCAAACGACATGGCCATGGCCCCTGTGATCCCTGCGGACTGCGAGCTGCAGAGAAGTGTAACTCGTTTAGGTGTGGACTTTCTTGCAGAAGCTCAAGGACAGGCGCAGGCTGATCACTCTTCGACATTCTGAGATGTGCTGTAGTTCACCGACGTGTTTCGGAACTGCAGCTTGCATTCCTGCTTGCATTTCCTGGCATGTCGGTGCATGAAGGGGCACTGCAGGCATCCCCTTCTGCAGGCTTCCATACTGGCATCCTTGCGGGAATTCGTCTTTGTGGCTGCGTCTGGACCACAACGACATCGAGAACATCGACCTGCTGGCCGACAAAGGACCTCGTGCGCACCTGCAGTAGCAGCACGTGTCCCCTGGCACTTTCTGACTTCCTTTCGTTCCCTCCCTTTCCAATCTCGGCTTGGGCTTCGGCCCAGCTTTTTGTGTCTTTCGCGCAGGACAGACACTGGCATATCTTCAAGTATGGGCTGGGGCCCGAGCAGCACAGGACGAGGGGCGAATGGAGCAAGTGAGCCGTACTAAGGAGAAGGCCGCCAAAGGGTGGACGGTGCGTTCGCAGCAAAAGCCCCTTCTTGCACGTCGTGGCCTGAGCTTGAAGAGCTGATGCTGAACGACTTTCATGATTTGACTTACCATGGAGGTCCATCTGTGGAAGCGGCTCTCTTCCCAGCTTCGCACGCAAAGGCCGCACGACCATAGGATTGCTTGGCCTCGTGGATCTGAGCGCATAGTAGTCAGACTTGTCGCTTCGCTCCAGGAGCGACATGTTGAGATCAAAGCCGACATGCGGAAGCAGCTGCTGTCGATGCTTCACGTTTCTGGAGAAGCTCGGGCAGAAGGCTGGGCTTTACCAATCTGTGCAGCCGCAGGTCGCAGCGCTTCTTGCAGGAACCATTCGGGCGCCAATGGTGTTCACGGAAGATGAGTACCGGCTGTGGCAGATGGAGTCCCGTGAGGACGCGGAGAACGGCGCGGATGACAGGCGAGCGAGCGAGAGTCCGGCTCGGAGGCAACCTCTCTCTCTCTCAATAAGACAAACCGCGGACAGGAACGAGGAGACTTTTGGAGGAGAAGCAATCGCCGCCGGATGGTCTTTCGAGGATCTCGTCACAGATCAAGGCGCAGCACAGCACGAAAGACATGAAGTGCCAAGTGCCAATAGGAGAACTTGGCAGCAAACCAGCGACTTGCGAAGAGGGACCAAGCCTCAGCAATGGAGTTTCCTGAAGTCTGTCGGAAACCAGTGCTTTGCGCATGTTGATATCGTGCATCCTATAGAGGTTTAATTCTGAATTAGAGGCATAGGAATTGCCATTCGCCGTGTGAGCTCGCGAGTTGCAAGTTACCTGTCATGACCGCCCAAGGGCAGCGGCTGGTCTGAGGAAGCGCCCAAGGCTCGGCTCAGCCGCCTTGTTGCGTTCAGATGTTCACTCTACATTGACTCTACATGTGCAGGTGCAGGTGCCTGTGCCGGAGCCGATTCCAGAACCGCCTGCCGCGACCCAGTCTTCTCTGACAGATGCAAAGCAACAGGTGGAAGCAGAGGCAGGGCAACGTCTGGCACTTTCTTCATGCTAAATCCTTGCGACGTGTTCCATCAGACTCCTTCATTTTTTTCGCCTGGTCTAGCTCCGCACTTTGCGGTCGCGAGAACATGAGGAGAGCGAAAAATGCCATTGGCAATTCCCGGCGTACAGGCCTTTTTGTCCGTTTGTTTTCTGGCCGCTCTGGCATGCTTCTTCGACGTGTTCGAGGCTGAGCACGATCCATCCCGTGTAGCCACCGGGACTAGATGGACAGAGCGGGACACCGGTGGAGACCAGCCAGACTCCGAAGACTCCTCCTTGTCCTTCTCTTGCAAAGGGCGCGCGTCCCCACGTGGAACTGCACAAGTATCTTCATGATGCCTCCTGATGAAGGGGCTCATAACAGCGAGGGCGAAACGCCCCACAACCGTGACACAGTCCCCTATCAAAGCAGCCAGCGACCCTTTTCAAAGGAAACAGAAAGAGAAGGATAGGCACAGCGTCAGGGTGCAGCACCAGACGGACAGAACTGTCTGATTCGAAGAATGGCTGTCACTTCCGAGATCGTCGAGCGAAGGATTGACAGGTCGTTACGTCTTTGCGATGCCTACTGGCAGAGAGTTTGTGTCAGGTGCGACAGCTCGTGCGGGATGTTGATGTGCTGCGCCCCGAAGACTTCAGCGGCAAGGTGGTGCAGTAAAACGTTGGCTTCAGTTAGTCCACTTCACATGATGTCTGTGATGTCTACAGGTGAAGCAATGGTTCCATGCGCTCCGCAGCAAGGGCGGCATCGAGAAAGTGACCGAGGCCGGCCCCCCGTACGATCTTGGCTCCGAAACTTGAGCCCTGAGGCTCTGACTCCAGAGACGTCGTTGCTTTGAAGCGATGCGAATGTGGGAGGCTACTGCAACGCTGCGCCTGATCTTGAAGCACAAGCGTCGTGGAGAAGTCGAGAAGCCTGAGACTTGAAAATCAGACAGCGAAAGCACACTCGAAAGACAAACTCGAAAAGACTTCTTAGGGTCCTGCTCTGAACGAGGTGGTCCTCTTACTTGCGCTCCCTTCTCGAGAAGATCCACTTCGGAGACCTCCTGCACTGCCCGACAGCAGGCCCGGCCCTCGGGTGGTTCGCTGCGTAGAGACCCGTCTTGTGCAGAAGGAGAGTCGCAGCCGTCATCTCAAGCCCAAGCCGCCCAAGCCGCCCAAGCCGCCGCCTCGGAATCCAACGCCTTTCCGCCTTTCAGGGGCTCGGCTTCTTCCAGTGCGGCTCGCTCCAGCGCTTGAGCCGAGGTCTTTCAGTGAGAGCCTCCTGCACTGATCTCGCAGAGTCAGGCAGCTGGCAAACATCGTGCCACTGCGGAGCTGCCAGGAAGCTCCTGTCCTGCAGAACCCAATTATCTCGAACAGATTCGCTTCCGCTTCCTGGGGGCTCCAGGATGTAGTCTAGCTCTCAAGCGCACATATCCAAAATCCCATCGGACAGAATGAAGACCGCCTGATTGCGGATACGTGCTGCAGTGTCCATAGACGGCCACCGGGTACTTTTGTTGTCATTATTTCTGTTTCGGTTCACAATTTCAAGAGCATGTTGTACACGTTTTTCCTGGCACCCGGGCAACATTTGAGTTCTTTGAGTTCTTTGCATGACCCTGAAATGCTGAGCGCTGGTAAAACATTGCCTTTGCGTTTACAGCTCGAGCGACGACGCAGCAGACGCTGTAGATGAACTCGTGAGGTTTTCTGAGATGACTAAACCTTGGTGATCCATAGGACGAGTGAAGACCGGCGAACTCACAAGCTACATGCGATCCTTCTGTTGCTTATTCAAGACTTCGTCGCTGCAGTTGCTCTGAAGTCACTTCCTCGTCGATAGATTAACCACGCAGAACCACCGCCATTATGTGCCTTTGAAGGAAAAGCATCGAAGGGGGGGGGGGGGGGGGGCGCATACTGAGCACAGGAAAACCGTTGGCTTGCGGCTTGAGATTCTCCAAATCAGGTTGTCTGAGAAGTGTACCATGGACTGCACAATTCTGGTCGTTCTGAAGGGCGAGGAGGCAGGACTTGCTCGGATGTGTTTGCCTCTATGTCGACGAACATCTTTGCAGCAGCATGTAAACTGTCCTGGCATCCGGATTCGGCATGTTGCAAATTGAAAAGGCTTGATTTTTCGGAATAAGAGGTAGGTCAAAACTGAAAGATCGCTGCAGACCATTCTTCGACAAGCCGCATTAGCATGCTTACAACGTCAGTAGCATGCTTACAACGTCAGGCTCTTTACGACGACAGAGGCTATAACATGGCTTTCAACATGGTATTTTGCTGAGATTGCTCCTGGCGACGGAACGTCGATTCGTAAGAACCGTGTGGGTGTATGGCTTGCTACGGGATTTGCTGCTGCTACAAGCAAGAGGGACCAGGTTGTAGCTCATCCGTCGCAAATCAAAGAAGCGACGTTCCGTCGGACACACGGCTTGTCGGAACAAAAACTTACGACGTTTGTGCGCGCGCGGGCCCATGGGCCAGCTTCCCCCGTGCCAGTAGAGTGGCGGTGAGCGCTGAGCATTGAGCTGCAAGGTGCTCACAACATGTGCCATCTCCTATCAACCCAGGCGGCACTGCGAGTTGTCACGGTGTCTCCGCGCTGCTCTCACCCTCTTATGGGGAGGCAGACTTCAGAAGCGTCCGTGAAAAGCTGTCGGCTTCTGGAGGCCACATGTGTGCGCAGACGTCTCGCAGGGCAACAGATCCTGTGCTTTCCATGGTCTGAGTTGCGACCGCGTCCCACGGCCTGTTCAGGCAGGGGTACCATCACGTGGCGTCCTTGCAGCCAAAGCGGAAAAGGTGTGCTACAATTTAAGGACCACTTACTGGCAGCAGTCATGAATCAAAGACTTGGGATGGCACTTAGCTGCAGGATCCCGGATGACAGTGACGTTGCCATCACAGTCAGCCCGTTAACGGACTGCCGACCCACCGTGGAGGCACTTGGCCCAGTGGAGTAAGCTCGCATCATGGCTTGGTTATCTTCATGTGTAGCTATGCATCGATAGAGTTCTTTTTCTCTGTGTGCAATGCCGGAGCCTTGCTGCTGAGCTGCCTGAGGTTACTCAGATGTCCGGCGCAACGAAGATGCTCCCCGCAGATGCGCATTTGGGGTCACTGCCTCAGCTGAAGGATTTCTCTGCTGGCTGTTGAAGGGCCTGCTTTTTGTCAGTGAGTTCCTGGTAGGTTCGTTTCGAGCATCCTCCGGCACGAAGACGGCGAAGTGCAGAAGGGCTTGCTATCCATTGAGGCAACGCGGAAGTTACGATGGTGGAGGGGCAACTACAAGTTTAAATGAGGAGTCGTGACTGAAGATGTCTGTCGCGCAAGACCCCACGGAACAACAGTCAGTCATGTTTCATGGCTCAGGAGAGTTGCCTTGGCCGCACAATCCCCTGTTCCGGCGTACCGCCATACTTTGGCCGCTAGTTATAAACATGTTTTCTGCCGTCGTCTGTTCGTGACGCGAGTGTTTCTGTTCTGGTGGCATGCTCCGATCCGAGTCAGTTGCCGAGTGCTCCGTCAAAGTCTGAAGCAGTTTTTGTTAGTCTGTCACTTCTTGGCTGTGAACATTCTCAGACGAGCAGCTTTGGACGAGAATACCCAGCAGAGATAGTGGAGTTCCCTGGACTTTCGCTTCGAAGATGTCGACAACACCCCTAAGTCACAGTGCCGTCGTGTGCTTGTCTTCTCGGATCTCCTGAGGTACAGGTGCACAAGCCATGTCGGGTCGCATCCGAGCCTTCGGTCCTGTTTTCGAGGCTTGTATAAACCTCCGCGGAAGCTGGGACTGTTCTCGGACTCAAAAACCAGAAACCAAGGGTTGGCAGAGCCGTCCGGCCCAAAGCCTCTATAGGGCTCGAGTTGTCAAGCTCATCAGGAGAAGGTTGTTTGGCAAGGATGAGCTGCAAGCCGTGCTGCCCAAAACAGAAATTTCAAGAGCCGAATAAGGGATCTTTTTCACCCGCATTCATGTCATGTACCAGGAACCCAGAATGCTGCTTGCTTCCTCAGAGCCCTCTGCAAAGACTGCTGCCTCATTTGAGGAGGGGACGTTAGGGCAACACCACGAAAACGCCACGTGCCGTGTTGTGCCTGTGCAGAGATTGAGATAGCCAAGCATGACCTGAACCTGGTGTTTGGCTAAGGAGCGAGATTATGTTTAAAACAAGTTGCATCCGTTATGTTCCAGCATGCTGCAATATTTTGGCTGGCCTTGAGCGACTTTCAGAAATCCTTTTCCGAGAACCGTTCGTGTGTGTTGACGAGGCCAGCTGACAACATCGCGACACCCGACAAACCAATTTCTACCGACACCCGAAATGCTTGCAGACTCTTCCTCGCGCATCGCATGCTCCGGCTACGTTCAGGCTGTCCAGTGTCGGAACTTGGTATTTCTGTGCCATGCATGAGTTCAGCTCCCTCGTTCTGAAAAACTGGCAGGCAGGTCCTTGCTTCCAGCACAAAACAGCCAACGCGCACCAAACACGGACGTCAGTGTTCACCCATTCCCCACAAGCTTACCTCGCCACTTGAAGGACAACAACGCACCAGCATGCAGGTTTCGGCTTCCCACCTCTTGTACCATCGTTTGTGCAAGATCTTCTTCCATTGACTTCTTGTAGTGCCCAAGAGACCTTGTGCAACACGGCACAAAACCTGACATGTGACCTCAGCCGGGAATCCATCGTTTTGGGCTGTTCGCAGGATGTCGGTAGAAGGATGCCATTACAAAGTCGAAATCCGGTCTGGGACCGTGAATGCTGTACGGCAGTCTGCGCAGGTGTCTTCGGGAGCAGCTTGTCAGGCTGGGTCGGCACTGACAGTGAGGGACGGTACATGAACATACATGAACGTTTTTATCAGTCTTTGGTTGCTCTTGTTTTGGCAGTTCGATGTCCGAGACGGGGCCTTAACATCGGCATCAAGAAGTTTGCAGCTTTGGCTGGTCTGCAACCCCCCTCAGGCACAGATGACCGTTGGGAAGGCAGGTCAGGTATCAGCAGGTCGGACGCCTGCGATTGGTGTGCCGCTTTGATGCCTCAGAGAAGCATTGCCAGGTCTCCTTTTCGAAACGAAGCAGGCTTGGCTCCACTCAAAGCTGCCTATCTCTCCTACAAGCACGAAAGAGCTCTGAGTGGAGGTGTTGAGGCTTGATGTGCCCGCTTTCTTCACCACTTCGCGCAATGCAGGCAAGTTGCCAGCCCTTGGTTTCTTGCATCCTCTGCGCTGTGCAACAGGTGCTCATTCCTTCACCTACACCTCCCAGATACAGACGCCCAAAGAGACGGCGTCACGAGAGTTTCTGCAGGCCGCGGTTTGCTCGCCATGCCGTGCTGGTGAAATGGCAGCAATACTCCACTTCGCGGGTGTTCCTTACCGGTATCTTGCATTGGAAACATTGCAAGCTTGTCTTAGGTAACACATAGGACAGAACCGCCGACGATGGGTAGCTTGCGACATCGAGGTCGAAGTGATGGCACTATCCGGGGAGATATCGGTTCGCTGCGCATGCCGTGCCAGCTGCCCAATGCAGCTCATGTCTAGTCGTGTGCAGAACCGGTTTCCTGGTTCGTCGCTAGGGTTATGTACGACACTGTACCAAGGCTGTCCCCGCTGCAACTGCACACGGGTCTCAGAAGACGCTTGGCGGATCGATGCCTTTGGGTACAGTTCGGCAGTCGAGTTCAAGCGTAGCGGTCAGCAGTCATCGGCACGAGGTGCAGTCATGTGCAGTCCATAACTTTAGATAGAGGTGGAGTGGCTGTCCGGGGCCAGTGCCGGCGTGCTCGTTTGTTTGCCGCACCATCGGTATGCAGCATGGCACAAGGACATTCGTATCAGATGCCTTGAAGGCCGGCTGACCTTCGATTTTGCGCCTTTTCTTCTTGAGACGAGCTGGGAAATCCCGAGGCCCTGCATCAGGCGGAAGCTGACTTGAGCAAGGGTTCGTCCCAGATCTACACCTGCCGCGGGATGCGCGAGGCATCGCTTTTCACTAGATGTTGTCCGTAGCAGTCCAACTTCTAGATCGTGAGCTTTCGCCCTCCGCATGCCAGCTCCCAGGCATGTGGTGAGGCGTTTACCTGCTTGATCCTTCTTGTCGTGGAAAGCAAGATTAGAGGAGCCGGGCCAAGATGCCGATCCAAAGGATCTCAGCACTTCGTTGAGTCTTGCAAAGCCTAAGGTTGGGAGGCCGACTATGTAGTGATGGCCGTGGACAGGACACCTAGCTGCAGCTTGAACACAATCGCGACAGCGACTGCTTGTTCAGGAGGACTCGTGAGATGTTGCTCCCCGGAGTTGCCGTAGAGCGCTGTGTGGGCCGTGCACTTACATGTCTGTCGACATCGCTCGTCACATTCATTACGAAAGCTTGAGGACAGCTATGTGCAGGTGGCAGATCAAGCATCAGGCTATGGGCCATGGGTTGGGCGTGTTCGCAAGGTTACCCCACGTTCTGGAATGAGAACGGAAGGGCCTACTTCAAAATGTTGACACGGCTCAGATACCAGATGCAAGCCGTAAGAGGTTGACTACACGCGAGGACTTGTGTGGAAGCCGCTGTGAACAGGTATCAGCTGTACATCAACAACCCGAGCACCAAAGTGAGCCTTCGTTTCTCGTGTCAAGGCGCCCTCCATCCATGATAGCTGCGTCAAGTACCCCTAGCGATTTGCAGGACGACTGCGGCAAGAGCGATGCTCGCAGGCACGACTCGAAAGAGGACATGACAGTTTTGTGGGGTCTTAGATTTCGCCCTGGCAGGTTCTACTGAGCGCAGATGCAAGGACTCCAATGCCAGCCAGTTTGGCGGACCGAGCGAGTCTTGGCTGCAGAAAGCCCTACTCGTGGAAGTGGCTCCACTGGGAATGCCGCATTTTTTATGCGTACAGGAAACAAGACTCTTCAGCAGGTTATTTTTGGCAAAACAGAAACATCAATGGGCAGCTTCGTTTCGCCGAGGTACACACCTCACGAAGCTGCGGCAGCTGGGTACATCTCCATGGAGCTGAGAACATCAGTCGAGCAGGACTCTCTCTGTGCCAATCAAGTCCATGATGGAGCCTGAAACCGCATAGACGCCCTCCTCCTCATAGACAGTTCCTACGACATGTTAGCTATAGTTTGCAAGTTGAATCTCGCCCGCAAGATTTCGCCCCAGCAATGGCTGAAGTTATACTCTGGTTTCTGTGAGGAGAGGGCTCATCCTGGTCATTGCAGAGACCGCCCCTCAGAAGTTCCCCCGTAGTTGAGAGAAGTTCAGTCAGAGCAAAGAGGTCCCTTGTGCCCTCACGGTCCAAGTCGAGCTTCGGCCAGGCTGGGAAAGCGGCTGTTGAAGGGCCCTTGAAGGGAAGCTGCTGTCACCTTTTCAAGCAGGCGAGTATGCGGCAGTGGACTTTCAACTCGAAGCGGTCTTCGAGGACTTCGAGTGAGACGGCTGGGTCCATTGTGAGCAGAGAACCAAACAGGATGCTTACTCCGTAGTTCTCGACGGTGGCAAGTCGGCTCCCCAGTCTCAGGCACATGAGTCGCATTGGATTCTTCGCAAGTCCCAGAGGCCTCTACACCTCGTGGCTGCACCAGGCAAACCAGCTCCGGGCTTTGTTTTCATTGAACGTCTTTGTCGCCGCAAGCTGTGCTGTGAAGTGTGCCATCTTGGACCAAGGAGTACTTCCTGTTCAATACGCGCCAGCAGACGTCGATGTCAACTTTGGCTGTTCAAGGCCTGTGCTTCCTCGCTTTGGCTGCCAGCATGCACAACCCCTCTCGACTCTCGATGGCGGATTTCTTGGCTCAGGCATGTAGCCGCCTTTTCATAAGGCCAATTCATTCCTTCCACTCCAATTGATTCCGAGAAGTTGTTGCTGTGCTATGCGAACCGATGCATGGCACGAACCTGGGAGCCACCATTCACGGTGTGCCTTCGCCTCTGCATCCGAAGCTCAATGTAGCAGCTAGTGCATGATGTTTTGATCGACTCGCTCAGAGTCTGCACGAGACCGGCATCACAAGAGACATGAGCACACGTAGAAAGCAAGTTCCGATGTCCAATGTGTGGCCCGGCGGCCGTAGGGATGTACAGTCAGTTCTGGCCGCTCGACGACCGTACGTACACCGTCGGGCTCTTGCGCGTCGGACTAGATGTGCAGGTCGCGGGGTCAATTCCTGCAGTCGAAAAGTGGTGTGCTCTTTGCATCCAAGTGTATGGCATTTTTGCAACAGTTGAGTTTGCAGTTCCCTACGATGCGTCTGACCCAGAGATGGATCTTGCCGTGGCCTTTGTTGACCGAGGTTTGGCTTCAGGTGGCATTGGTTCGGTTTGGTTTAGCAAGTTGCCCAACGTGTATTGTTACTGTTGGACTCGTGGCGCCAGCTAGGAATCGGGTTTGAAGGCTTCAGCGGTCTTCCATGCTGGTCGTGGAACCCGTGTCATGTGACAGTCTTCTGCGAACGCTGGTATGACCGATACCTAACACGAACCTTTGGCTGAAGTGTCCCAGCCAAGGTGAAGATGTTTCTCATGGAGTGCGGCCAGGATGGCAAGGATGACAAGCAAGGGCTGCGCATGAACAACTTTGCCATTCTCAAGCGATGCAAGTGGTGCAGCGTACCGGAGGATTCCAGCATCCACGATTCTGCGATGCCGTCTCAGCAGAGCCACAGGCCAACGATGCGGAAGAGGGATTGATAGAGAGTGGCAGCCGTTCAATTCGCATGCCAGTCAGCGCGGAGTTGTAAGTTCACGCTGGCAGCTCATGGCAATGGTGGTCTCACAGCCATGTTTAACTTCAGGCAGTCAATTTTCTCAGCACCAGGGCCTTTTGCAGAGACGCATTCCAGGCACACCGGTCCGAAAGCACAGGTCAGGCTCGTATGGCATTTTGATGTAAGGTGAGCTCGAAAGCTTCGCTAATCATCATAGGCTCATGTCACGGGGTGACCGTGGCAATCATCTCGCACCGTACCCAGGCAGTACCGCCGGTGCCCAAGTTCAGTTTAAACAACTCATGCGGCCAGTGTTGTTTCTGGATGAAAAGGATTGCCATTCGTGGGTATGGATGGCATCCAGGCCAGGGCACAACCTCATCCCGGTCGTAACGGGAAACACGGGGCAAAATGCGATACTCGGAGAGCTCAGGCACACCACTGATGCTCGGCGACCCGCTGGAGGCAGTGCTTGATGGAACTACCCTTAGTGCCTTAGTGGTCTGTTTTCGCAGCCCTTACTAGTATCAGCGAAAGTTATCACGACGAGGATCTCGCAAACTCAGCTACGAAGTCGTGCCTGACGAGAGCGTGGAGGAGCGCAGACATGAGAAAGGCAAAGAACGATGTCGGCAAAGTAGCACGTGCAGGTAGACTGAGTTGGCATGTGTCCGGTTTGCCGGCCGGCTTCCCGACCAGGACGTTGTGCTGGATCTCGAAGCTTCGAGCCCAGTTGCTGCAGGTGCTATGACTCTGAAGCTCTGATTGGAGACCTCCTTTCTCAGGTTTGTGCAGGCAACTTGCGGCTTCAAACCGGGATCCGGCCGGGCAGCAAGGCCTAAGTCTAAGCGAGTGCAGTCATCAGCAATGCCGATGCATTACTATCGAGTCGAAGCTCTTTGAATGTGCACTCTGCCAGACAAGCGGTGGGGCGGGTACTGGCCTTGGCGCAGCGAATCGTACAAGTACAGTTCGAGAGGAGCTGTGGCAAGTGCCTCGAGGTGGGCACGACCTGACAAGCGGTGGCATCTCACGTTTGAAAATGCCTCTGAAGATGAACGAGTGGGTACAGGTGCATAGAAACAGTCACGAAACAAATGCTTTTCGATTTGCCAGCCTGTCACGAGATATCATCCGCGGACGGCCGCTATGCACGCTATGTCCTCACGGTTCAGGATGCTTTGGCTCATGCAGTTCACCTGGTTTTAGAGCGAACATTGGTTCGCTGTAGCTCTCACTCATCCGAGACGTTGGCTGATTGATCCCTGGAAGGATGCTGCCGATGTCACATGGCTGGATGCTGCAGACCTCCAGAGGTTGGGCTCAGTGGCTCAGTGGCTACTGAGCCTACTGCATGTCGCGATGTAGGCGGGCGTGGAGCATCTCTGCGTTTCACTGCAACCATCTTGGAGGTCCGTGCTGGTGGTAGAACGGTCTGAAGGCGTTCACGTCGCCTGAGTCTCAGAAGGTTCGGTCTATGTTACGATGATCTGGGAGCTGAGCCAAGGACTGGCGGGCTGCGAGTCTCTTCGGTCAAGGCCAGGGTAAGCTTTGAAACCCTCTGCTTCAGGTTGTGCTAATCCTTAAGCTATCTTCCTGCCCCGACGTAGCTCATGATCCACACGAGGCTTGGCCATGTAGAAGCGAGCATGCGAGCATATGTTTGCATTGTGAAGCATACTGCATAGATGTCACGAAAAACCGTATCTCCATCTATCTCGCTCTCTTTCTGTCTCTTTCTCTCTCTCTCTCTCGCTCTCTCTCTAGGTTCTGTAGTCGAATCTGTGTCGTGGTCTAGAGCGGTCTAGTGGCTGCGTGACCACGGCGGGGCCTTGCAGAGGGTCAGGCTGAGCAAGCGCTCATCCCTACCCCGACAAGTGTCGTACCCTTGGCTGCGATACGCAAGCTGTGAGGTCACGATGTAGATCCGCGTGCCCGGTACGAGGCTGATGGCACAGGAAAGCTGACTTGGTGCAACATGCTCGGAGGACATGCTGAACCTTGCATGCTTGTCATCGGAGGTCTTCTACGGCAGGAGGGACAAGCTGTCTTCAAACATCTCCACGGCATGTGGGCTGTATCTGGAGTCGCTGAGCCAAAGTAGAAATTATTGGTTTGCCAGAGTCTTTGTAAATTAAAAAAAGCCAGGTGACTTGGTGCAGCGGCTTAGCTGAGGCACTCGCTTCGAAATGCGAGGAGGATCGTCGTCGATGGGGCAACCGAAGCTCGTATCGAGGCAACGAAGAAAGGACAGCGGCTCGAATGTCCAGAATATGCTCCCCCGTCTGTGTCAAGGACTTGCAAGCAGGCCATTATGTGGTGAACGTGGTTGCTAGGACAGGAAGTGACGCACCGCACCGGTACAAAGATCATGGAGTGCCAGCTGCAAGGAGCTTGGCAACTGGCCACGTGGTCGCCTACCAGCCCTGGGTTGGTGATCTCGGCGATTCAGTGAGGAAGCACATCAGAACCATGCAGAAGCCGCACGTCCGGGGCTTTTGCCAAGCAGGACCACTGGGGCGGTGGCGGACCGGAAAGCATCCTCCGGGCCTGCGGCCAAGGACATGGAACTCACTAGACAGCTACTGCTCGCTTCAGAGGTTCTGGCCTGACTGGCCTCTTCCAATCTTGGTGCTCGTGGGCAGCCTGGTGGTACGTGGCTCAGAAGAGATTCGCCTTCTTTGCCTCTGCGAGCGTCTTTCTGGGAGGCATGGCAGCTCTGCAGAGTCCTGAGTTGTTGTGTCGGCAGTTGACGATTGCTTCATGTCGCTTACTTCAGGCAAGGGCAGTGCAAACCGCTTGCCGCCGTTCAGCTTGGAGTTGCCCCCCTGGAGGAGGCTTGCATGTGTCAAGCGGTGATGAGCAATTGGCAAAAATTCCTTGGACGGCTGCCAGTTCTCCACAGCACTACCAAAGCCTGGACGGTTGCCTTCACAGACGCAAGTGTCAGAGTGAGCCGCAGGAACAGCTGTGTCATGCCTCCCGCGTCGTGCCAAGGCCGTGAAATTGGTGGGCGCTACATGCCACCGGCCATTGTGGAAGCCTCGGAACCAGAACGAACAGAGGGAGACGGTGCGAGCGCGACAGATCGAAAGACCAAGTTTCACCAGTGCGATTTGTGTAGTCTTTTTTCTAGCTGACGACACCTTACCCGGCCAATCCAGCTTGGACGGGTGCACACTTGCAGGGAGTTTCGTCCGGGCCCCTTCTCGAAGACCGAAGAACAAGAGCAGAGGGACTTTGCAAAGCCGAAGGCTGTCGTCAACATCGAGCTAAGCCACAATGCGGGATGGCCACCGCTTCGAAATGAACCTTTTCAGCAAAGGGACGTGCGGTAGAAGAAGATGAACCTCCCTTTCGGGCAGGGTCTCGCCTGCCCTGCATGCATTGGTGTAAAAGAAGAGACAACATCAGAGTGCGAGAATGTGCGAGAAGATGTCAGTGCTATCTGGTGACACCTTAATCTCGATGAGTCCTGGTGCAGTGAGCCTGGATGGAGCGGTCCTCTGAGTGATGTGCCTCTACACTAGTAGTCGGAAGCTGGCACAGACGCCGCTGTACATTGTTGTACATATCGTCTTTCGCGGGATCGTTCAGCCATCTCCCATGCGGAGTAGGCAAACGATAACCTGGTCAGACTGATCGGTTTCGAGAGATATTCGTCTACCTGTTGCTCTGCTGTCCTGACTTTTCATGAAGAGCTCGCGTCTTTAAGTTTCGCTTGGAATGCACCTACTGACGAGCAGGCTGTCTCGCAGCTGTTCTGGCTCTCAGGGCAGCTCCGTCGATTCTTGATGGACGAAGTCCAGTTCAAGCTCTCCTAATGCAGACCTATCTTTCGATTGGAAGATGTGCTGCCATCATCGCAGCATCCGTGCTGGCAGTTGAAGCTGCCAAAGCCACGTCTCTGTCAAGCCGGGCTTCCATGTTGCGCAGCTTCAGCGGTGATGACAAGCTGCCCGTCAGCCTGGAGAATATTGAGACCGCGTTGCTTGCGCTTGAGAAGCAGCGAGGAACGCCAGGACTGAGGAATACCGTCACAGAGATTCACAAAATGGTGACACACATGGAGATGATGGTGCAACAGCAAGCACGGCTGACCCAGCAGACCCTTGATCAGGCTTGGTCTGATTTCACTTCTTGCAAAGGGCTCTACGAGGCCGGCTCACACTCAGGCCTCCTATCTGTGGACAGCTTGGCAAAGGATCACGCCGCTTGCCGCCTTGAAGAGTCCAGTTCGAAGATTGAGCTGGAGGCTTGTGAGAGCGAGCTGACGGCAAGGACTTCAAGTGAAGTGCAGCGGAAGAACGAGTTTGATGCCTTGAACAAGTTTCCAGCTAGTGGGTTCTGCAACCACCGCACGAATTCACACGAGTACGCAACGGTGAGGGGCTATATCAAGCACTTTCGAGATCATTTCGCTTCGCACCTGAACTCATGGGAAAATGCTTTCAATGCCTCAAACACCGCGACAAGATTGAAGCTGGAGAAGTCCCGCGAATGTTATGGTGGAGATCAGACACATGATGGGAAGGGCGGCAAAGATGCTGCATACAAGAACAAAAAGCTTAGCTGCCAGAAGCTGCAGGCCAATCTTGAGGATGCAGCATGTGATCGAATAGCTCACAGAACCGACTGTGTCGCTTACGTGATGTGCTATCAATCTAACCACAAAGCCTTCTTCGATGCTGGCCAGGCAAAGGAAACCGCACTCTTGCAGTCGCAGAAACAGCTCACGGAGTACCGTGGTCTTGGCAGAATTAAATGTGTACTCAATGCCTATTCGAAGTACGAAGATGGTGAGTCGCTGACACAGTCCATTGCGGATTGTCAGAAAGTGAATGCCGACCAGACCTTCTTCCAGATCGAACTCCCTGATCAAAAGCCGGGTGCCATGCCTGCGAACAACACGGGCTGCCTGAGCCAGAATTCTGCTGAGAAGCCAGGCACCTTGCTCAGTTCATCTTGCTACGCTAGACCAGAACACTGTGTTGTATTGCAGAATCTTCAAGCTCAGGCACCCAAGCATTTACACAAGAGATGTACAAGAACCTTATTGGTCCGGATGAAGCTGTTCATTGGGACAACGTGAAGGACGATGTGCTGACATGTCGCAGACCCAGCAATAAGCTTGTTGGGCATGTTGTGCACACATTACCGCCAAGCATTTCCCATGGTACATGCACCTAGCATCATGCATGCGAGCTGCCGAGGCAGGGGAAGATGCTGCGCATCACCTGCTGAAGCAACGGTGTAGTAATACGATTCGGACGTGACAACACTCATTGTGCCGAACTGCAATGCAGACAAAAGGGGCAATCTCTTAGAATAAATCATATTAAGGATAGACCATAGATTAATCGCGCCGATTATGGACCTACAATGCTCATCTCAGGGCTCAGAACATAAGAATCTATTCATTTTGAATTCGTTCTCATTTAGCAACTACCGCCATCCAAAATTCGTTTCAAATCAAATATGAAGCAGAAGAATTCATTAATTGATTTTCAATAAATCTTCTTCAATTTTATGATTTTAGAGCTTCTATCAGAGAATATATTGATTGATAAATATTTGAAATAAATAATATGATTAAAGAATCTACGATAAATAACAATAGGCAAAATATTATAAATAGATTTGAATTTTATTTTTTGAAATATTTTTCTATTTTTAAACTGAATTATAATCGATTTTATCGATTTATTGATAGATAATAAAGCTATTGAAATTCTTCGAAAAATTGATTAGATTTCTTTTAATTTTCGATTTTTGGCTATATAATATAGACTAATATCAAATTCTAATGAAGAAAGAAGGAAAATTAAGATTATATATATTTCTGATATGATATAAATTTGCGGGGAGGGATTCTG